TGCCTATGCCTGCTCCGGACAGCCCCGCGCGGGCTGCGAGTGCCTGCAGGGTGGGGTGCCAGCCATGGGGCGGGCGAGGGGCCGCTTTTCTCTGCACAGGGAAGGAGCCCAGGGAAAAGCTGAGTGTGGGGGGGAAAGTGGCCCCTCCCCCACCTGGTGCCTCATGCTGCAGGCGCTCGCAGCTTGCATGTGGCTGTCTGGAGCAGGCACAGGCAGCCCCATACGGGGTGCAAGCAGCTGCAGCGCAGGGCACTGGGTGTGGAGGCCCACCCACACCCATCCCTGCTCCTTCCTTGCCCAGGGTCATCCCCCCTGCCACCTACCTGAGCTTCCTGCAGGGGCAGCCACGTGCTCCCAGCCCAGAAACCCCAGCTGGGGCTTTCGGCTGGGGGCAGGGCCAGGCGGGCCCTGCTGCTGTTGGAGCCCACTGGGCTTCCCCCTGGGTCCTGCTGCCCTTGGTTCCTGTCATTTTTGACAGGAACCAAGGACAGAGAAATATTAATTTTCCAAATATTTTTAGGGGCCCCACGGGCCGGATAGAATGCGTATGTGGCCCGTGGGCCGTATTTTGCCCACCCCTGGAGTAACCTGTATCATGATCTTCTTCATCCTCTGCTTGCTGGCTTTAGCAGTTCAACTCCTGGATAACAGCTATTACGCTGCCTGAAATCTTGAACACTCCCTTCTTTCCACCCTCACAGCTGTGCATACAGAATAACTCAGAATTCACGGCAAGGCACGCAACTACAAGCGGTATCAATTAAAGGATGCCTTTTATTGTAAAATTCTATTTGCAGGTTTATTATAATAAAACTAGTACTGTAGATTCCTGCTCGTTTAGTCTTCTTTTCTACCAAGATATGAATAAGTGAATGATACTAACAAAGAAAACTGGAAAAAATAAAAAATACAAAAAGGAAATGGGTAGTATATTTCCTGAGACACTGCACAAGTCACTCCATATTTTCTTTCTTTAGCTCTTAAAGACTCACTGGTGAATAGATGGAAAATTATGGCAACTGCTGTTCAATCGTATCTTATATCCCATTTTGCTCCTGCACTTGATCATGTATAGGTGAATAACAAATAAAATCCCACACACAAAATAAAAATCAGTTCTCTTCCTCTCGGGTATGAGACACTGGACAATACAACATGGTAAGATAGTTTATGATAGAAAATGGGTAAATATACCTCAGAAAGTGAAACATGTTTAATGTGAAACAAAAAATATAATCGTTCAACAGATTACAATTTTTTAAAATAATCTGAACCACAGTAAATCTTCTGTTGTGAGCATGCACTGCTTAACCTTTACATTATCTGATTAACCAATCCTTCATTTCCCTCTTTATGGTTTCAGCCAGTATGCAATAAACCAAAATACATTAAAAAGTGATAGCCAAGTACTGGGTGAAATGTAATGTCGCTGTCCTACAGGACAGTATACAAATAGCCAAAACGTGTGAATTACCAGCATGCCATTTAGCAATCTACTGAAATTACCTGTCCCCAAAAATAATGTCTCCTATATGCCTTGTTAACTTTAAGGCATACTAATCATATTTAGGCATACTATGTGATAAGGAGATACTGAAGTTGAGTTTTTTTTTAAATAGATTTAATTAAAACTGTAACTTATTATCAAGCAGCAGAAATAGGGACTGTTTAAATTAAATAAAAATTAAGTAGTAGGGTATTATGTTCATGAAAACTTTCTTTTTTCTTATTCATTTATTAAAATCTGATATACAGAACTTAAGTTTGCAATCTAAATTCCTTAAGTGCTTGTTAAGCAATTTGCTTCTCAAGTCCTTCCTTCTGGCACAAAGAAGTTAGGATACTTGCATGCTGAGTAATATTTTATGGTACTTACAGTAAGCAAACTAGAAGAACTGAGGGTGTTAACCCAATATTTGTTCCATAACAGCTCAAGCAATTTACGATCCAAAGATGACTTGAAGTAGGAGACTTCTAAAGCGTAATATCTGTTAAAAAAAGCACAAAGCAAAGTTTTCAAAATTAGTTCCTAGGGCACATTTCACAACCAAATCTTTATGTTCACATGGATCTAGAAAACTAAAATCAAAATGCACCTCAAAAATGCAAACTCTGACAAAATACAGACAAGATATTATAAATTTCAATTCCATTTCATATACTGACATCTACAAAAGCTCCCAGAGAAGTTTTTCAGAGGTGGGATATCTTTCCACTGCACATCTGTGCTGTTCTAATATAGTGATAACTATTCCTATTCTTTTCAATTGTCTGTTGCAACAGAACAGGCTATAACAGGGGTTGGCAACCCCTGGCATGCGTGCTGAGCATGGCACGTGAGGCCATTTTGCTGGGCATGCTGCAGCCAGCCCTGGCTCCAGGTAGCTGCTGCCAGCGACGGAGCCCGGACTGCTCCCAGCAGGGCTTGCAGAATCCCTACTGCCCCTTGTGCCCCACAGCAGGGTAGTGCAGCCCACCCCGAGGTGCCCGTGCAGTCGCCGCCAGCACGGAGCGGATGCCGGAGCTGTGCAGCCTGGCCCGGCGGAGCTGTTTGCACTCTGCTAGCTGCAGCTGCCAAGAGCCCTGGCTGGCTACAAACAGCTGCGCTGGGCTCATCACCTCCGTGTCGGGAGTGGGGGAGAGACCAGGGCTGTGCTGCCTCAGGCCCCTCCTCCACCGCCCACTCCGATGCATGCCTACATGTGCTAGTGCAGAGCTGATGCCGGAGCCCGGCGCAGCTGTTTGGAGCCTCCCGGATGCAGCCGGCCCCGGCTCTGGGGAGCTGCTGCCAGCTGGGATCCCGGGCTGCTCCCAGCACGCAGCTGGGACGCTGCAAGCCCTGCTGGGAGCAGCCCAGGCTCCAGCAGCTACCCAGAGCCGGGGTAGCTGCTAGCAGCCACAGAGCCCAGGCTGTGGGGCAGGTGCTTTGGGTGGGGGGCAAGGGGCAGTAGGGCTGTGGGGCAGGGGCAAAGGGCACAAGCAGGGCATCCTGCCATGTACCCCTTGCCCTCATTTTGTTTTTCTGCCATGCCAGCACTCCAGCACCTTCCGAGGTAGGCATTGTGGTGTTTTTCGGCACTCCGGCCAAAAAACGTTGCCTGCCCCTGGGCTATAAGATCATTGAGGTAACTGCTGCGGTTTGAAGACTTATTGTACAATGCCCAGATGCCTGCATACAATTATTCCCATGTAAGCATAGTAAAGGACTGCTAACATAAAGAAATGTGAAAGGTAGGAATATTAGATAGTGATAATCTTGAGAAAGAAAATATTTATTTTTTGTTATACATCATATAATCTTTTCTGTTCATATTACAAAATTCCAAAGGAAGGAAGGTCAGCTGGAAGGCAGGCTTTTAACACTTTTCTTTTTTTAAATAAAGACCCAGGTTCAAAAAGGTGTCTAGTAACCTAACTCCTATTTAAGAATCCAACCAGTGAAATCTATAGAGTTAAAATATTATGGATTCAACCCCAGCTGAAGAGTACACTACTTTCTCTCATTAGTGGGAATGCATAAACATTTAGGTAAATATTTAGAAGGAACTCCTTTTCTTCCCTTCTCCCAGCCCATATTCCTAACAACAAAGGAAAACTACAAGATGTTTTGAGACTATATTCTCTCAAGAAACTGATAAGCCACAATAGAATTAAGGAGAAAAGGAAACGGTTTAATTTTTTCTGATTTAAAAAAATATTTCTTGCAACCAAAATCTTAGGAGGCTCCTGGAGGGTGGAGGCTGCTGGAGGGTATGATGACCCCACAAATAGCACGTTAAGGTAGAATATAAAAAAACAGAACCTGCAAGGGAAAACAGTTCAAGTCTATAAAGTACTGTTTCTACGTTGCTTAAAATAAACTTTTATTAAATAAAACTAGCAAACTTCCCGTCAAGCATGATTG